CTAACTCCCGCGGAATTTGTGTTTGCTATTTCCACAGTTTATTTACTGCTTTATCGAATTAATTTTGTCCTTCTTTATCGAATTAATTTTGTCCTTCTTTATCGAATTAATTTTGTCCTTCTTTTCTTCGTAACGACAAGTCATTGTAATTTAACGTTTTCTGCATTTTATAATATAACGATGTCTCACGGAAACTATTTTTATTTATGTAATTTAATTATTGTTTTTATTTTTATTTATATATAAATTTTCTAATAAGTATATAACAAAAAATATTTTTGTTTAAATATAATTTGGTTTTATTGATTTATTTTTTTTAGTATTATATATGACCGCGATTAAAAAACATTATTTTAACCCATTTATTTATATTAATTCGAAAAGTACCACAATTAAAAACATCATTATAACATGTTATTAATATTAATCCAAAAATAATCAATATTATTATAATATTTAACATGTATGTTCATATTATTTGTATATATTAAATATTATTTAATTTAAATATTTAAATTTTAGATTTATTTAGTAAAAATATACAATAATATATCATTTTCATCTCATTGAAAATATTATTTAAATTTGAATACTTAAATTAAATTTAAATTAATATATGAATTATTATTTTATAAAAATATAATAATGATCATACCTTAAGACTCGAACACACAACCTTACAAATAAGGGTTTACCACTATACCAACTAACTTAAATACATTTATTGACTTTAATACACTAAAAATATTTATACTGATATCTAACTGAGATCAACATCTTTTTTTTTTTTAACGCAATTATTGTATTTTATTAACTCAAAAGAGGAAATAGAGTTTAAACCAAAACCATAACAAAACAAACGAAGGTTACAAGGCCAACCATCAGGTCGAAAACACAGAGGCATTCGACTTTTCCTGCTCGATGATTTCAGTTAGCCAGCCCGGAGCTCCCGAAGCCACATATGATTGAGACTTGTCCTCCACCACAACACTCCTCGCTATCATGAATGCCGGTTTATTTGCCTCTCGGACTTCAGGTACCCATTTCCATTCTGATATACCATGCAAAGTCTCAAGGAGTTCCCTTGATTGGGATCGGAAAGCAGGCCATGCATGTGGATTGTTTACAGCCCCGATAATCTCCGATGCCTCTGTAGCAAACACCACGCTACCAATATGATGACTGCACATGCTTTCAACCGTCCACAGGTGTGCCAGTGTTTTCGCCTCAATCAAGCTCTCAACAGTACTGAAGGCTCGACGGCTGTGAATCTTAGTTATTCCATCGTGATCTCTCACAATCTATGCAGCTCCACCCACTCTCTTTCTTCGCGACCAGGTGACACCAATGTTACACTTTAGCGTGCCTTCATCAGGAGGTAACCACTTCTTTGGCTGCTGTATATCAAGAGCCTCCTCCCCTGATTCCAAATTTTTACCTTGTTGAGCCTCAAACCATTGATTAGAGTTCTCCCATATTTTTGCAGCTGTTTGAGGGGCCGTGAATCTCTTCCCTTCAAATAAGAACGCATTCCTGTTCTTCCAAATATGCCAGAGGATCCATGGGAAGCTTCTGCTAATCTCCTCTGGGATCTCCTTATCATGGACTCTGTTCAACAAATACGCCATGTTTACAAAGATGGATTGTTGGTGAAAACCTTCAGCAGGGAAAGGAAAATTTGTTAACGCCCATGTCTGTCTTGCGATAGTGCACTCGAAGAGAACATGGTTTATGGATTCCCCATTTCCTCCACAACTTTGACATACCCCATCCACTGTCATTCCTCTCCCTTTAAGACCATCAGAAACTGGCAGTGCCTCACTCAATGCCTTCCACATAAACAATTTGATCTTTGGGCTCGTTTTCGTAGTCCGGACTTTGCTTTTCAAAGGGTTCAAAGATGGTCTTTCCATGGCCACTAATCTAGCTTTCGACGGTTGCAGATTCTTCCCCAGCCAATAACCAGACTTAACAGAGTAGCCTCCACACCTGTTATAGGCCCATTCATATCCATCTTTCAGGCCAAAAGCCGGTCTGCTTTTCATGATAATTTCAATGTCTCCCGGGACAAAAATTTCTTCCAGTTTACCTCTGTCCCAAGTTTTGGTCTGAGGGTTAATCAGGTCTCTCACTTTAAGGTTTAAATCCCATAAAAGTTCTCGCCGAAATGGTGCCCGCGGTCTATCATCAAACATCCAGTTGTCTAACCACACGTTAACTGTATCAACCGACCCGATTGACCTCTTTAGCCCTTTTTCCAAGAGCTCTCTTCCATATAGAATACTCCTCCAAGCAAAAGAAGGTCGAGATCCCATCGCTGCTGATAGAAAACATGAGTTGGGGTAGTAACGGCTTCGTAAAACCCTGGAACAGAGGCTCTCCGGTAATGCAAGTAGCCTCCATCCTTGTTTAGCCAGCAAAGCTTGGTTAAACAGTTCAATATCTCTGAATCCGAGCCCCCACAACTCTTTTTCCAAGCATAGTTTCTCCCACGAGACCCAATGGATTTTCTTCTTATCCTCTTGTGCCTCCCACCAGAAGTTCGACATGGCACTGGTAAGGTTTTGGCACGTCATTTTTGGCAGCTTAAAAACAGACATGGCATACACCGGCATTGACATTGCGACTGATTTCAAAAGGATCTCCTTCCCTCCTTGCGACAGGAATCTGCCATACCATCCATGAAATCGCGACTTCATCTTGTCTTGGATATAGCTCAGCATTTCAATTTTCGATCCAGTAAAGCACTCCGACAATCCTAAGTACTTCCCTGTCCCTCCTTCAGATTGGATGCCCAATTTGATCTATATTCTCTGTTTTGTATCTTCTTCAACCTCAACCCCAAATGTGATCGACGATTTATCAAAATTAATCATTTGTCCAGATACTCTCTCGTACTCTTTCAAGATGTTATACAGAGCTTCACATTGAGAGTCATCCGCCTTGCACAAAACCAAACAGTCGTCTGCAAATAATAAGTGATCCACTGCGGGTCCATTCTCGGAGAATCGTATCCCAGATATTTTCCCTTCCATAGCCGCCTTGGTCATCAAATATGAAAATCCTTCAGTACACAGGTCGAAGAGGAAAGGCGATAGTGGATCGCCTTGTCGCAAACCCCTTCCTGGTCTTATCATCCCATGTGCCTCTCCGTTTATAAGCACCGTATATGTCACAGTTTGTACACAGAACATGATCCATTGGACAAACTTTGAATGAAATCCGAGAGCTGTATAGTCCCACTCTATCCGGTCATAGGCTTTTGACATATCCGTTTTGATTGCCATGTCTTCTACTGATATTCGAGGATGTGTCCTGAGTGCATGCACCATCTCATGTGCGATAATGATATTATCCGAGATCAAACGCTCTGCAACAAAAGCTGACTGCGTTGGTGAGACAATCTCCGCGAGCCAAGGTTGTAGTCTCCTAACCAAAATCTTTGAGACAGCTTTGTAAATAACCGTACACAAGCTTATTGGCCTCAAATCTACCATTCTCGTCGGTTTTGTGACCTTAGGGATGAGGCATATCTGCGTGTAATTCCATTCAATTGGGAACTCCCCTGTTTCAAAAAAAACGTTTGATCTCCAAGACAATTTGTGGCCCCAAGATATCCCAATAGTGTTGAAAGAAAAGGCCATTCATGCCATCAATACCCGGAGCACTCGAGGAATTTATGGAGAACACCGCATCCTTGATTTCCAAAGCTGATACCTCTTTAATAAGACTCCTATTCATTCGTTCTGAGACTCTCTCTGCAAAGCCATTAAAGAAGTCTCCACAGCTATCAGATCTTGAGGACGTAAAAAGTGTTTGAAAATAACTTCCTGCCACAGCACCCATCGAACCAGCAGTGCTTGCTTTATTACCCTGATCATCAATCAGGTATTCGATCTGGTTCCTTAATCGTTGAGTCTTCACCGAGGCGTGAAAAAACTTGGTATTTTTATCTCCCAGCTGCAGCCACTTCTCTCTACTGTTCTGTTTCCAGAAACTCTCCTCTTCTCTATAGGCTTTTGCAATTTCAGCCTTCAGGTTCCTACACATATCCAGTCTGGGATGAAGCAATGATTCCTCTATCTCCAGATCTTTGCGCATTTGTAGGATTCTGTCCATAGAGTTGCTTTTGTTTTCTTTTTTCCACTTACTGAGGGACTTCCTGCACGCACCTAATCTATCCATCAAACTCCTCGGTGCTGTTTGATGAATCCCTCTCCAGGCTACTCGAATTGCCTCCTTTACATTCGGTTTTCCAATGAACCGTTTATCAAAACGAAAGGAGCCTCTTGACTCCTTCTGTCTGCTCATTAGGTTGACAAGTACCGGCCTGTGGTCAGAACCAAGTTTCTCCATAAATACTTGGTTCGCCTGTGGAAAATATTGTCCCCACGCATTGTTACCAAAGCATCTATCCAGCTTGCTTTTAACCCAATGTTTATGTCTTACTCCTGCCCAAGTAAAGCCATCTCCATTCCCCATCAGTTCGACCATCTCACAGGTTCGAAGCATCTCAGCAAAGTCCTTAAAAGACCCATCACTTCGCCTTGGACCTCCCAGTTTCTCTCCATTGTGTAGGATTTCATTGAAATCTCCCACCATACACCACACGTCTTTCCTTTTCACACCAATGCGCATCAGTTTCTCCCATACATGAGCACTTCCTTTGATCTCAGGATCACCATATACAAAAGAAGCATAGAACTCAAAAGAACCACACTGTACAGCACAGTCGATTAGATGCTTGTCTGCATACTTTACATCCACCGACACATTATTCCTAACAAGTAAAGCCAAACCCCCACTCCAACCAATAGGATCCACCGTTATGACCCTTTCATATCCCAACCAAGTTTGAATATCCACTAAACCATTCCTGTCTTTCTTCGTCTCCATTAAGAACATGATCTCAGGGAAATGTGTTTTACGCATCTCCATGAGACGGGGAATCGTCAAGTCTTGTGCCCGGCCCAAGCCTTGACAATTCCAGCTCAAGATCCTCATTGAGGCGTCGGCGGTCCTTCCTTCAGGACCACCTCATTGTCATTACACCTAGCGATTTTAGTTACCACCATCTCCTCCTCCACAGCTTTCCTTTTATGTGGAGACACACCTTTTGGCTCTTCCACCACCTCTTTTGAAATCCCTTCAGTTTTAGTTTTCGATCCCTTTTGGTTCTTCCGAGACGTGGGAGTGATCTTTCTCCGAACTGATGCTCTTCTGGGTCTCACTCCTGATGAGCTCGCATCAGATGAACCTGTGTCAAAACCCAAGGACGCAGACTTAAAAACCGAGTTTGCAGAGTCGAAGTTTGCAGCCCCTCTCTCTGAAGTTGTCTCTTCTATGTGGGGAAACCTTGTCATTGCTATACCAGCCTTTATCGCAGACGCCATTAGTTTATCCCCGGGTGGTTTTAGGTTCTCTTTTTCACATGTCTTCACCACCTCGTCACTGGAAAAGATAGGCCCTTTTCCTTTATTCATGTCATTCGTGATCACTGGTCCATCTTCGAGCCGCAATACAAGGTTTTGAGTTCGTGTGTCCGAGCTCATACTCTGTATTAACATTTTTACTCTTTCCTCCCTTATTTTTCTCTCCTGTCCTTCTGCGGCAAGGAGGTACAGTCTCATCTCTTGTAATACATCTGGGTGGATTTTTAGCCGACCTGAATGTGGATCCAGTCCCACCTGATCCTCCCTCAGCACGCCAAACAAAGGGTCGTTTTCTTTCAGTATTGGTTTTGCTTCCAAAATACTCTTCCTTCGAGCCTCTGCCTTATCCTTTCTCAGTTTTATCAGCAGCGGGCACTTGTCTTTCTCATGTGTCAGACGTTGACAATTGTAACAACGTTTTTGGATTCGTTCAAAATCGTACCACACTGTTGTTGTTTCACCATTCGGTAGAATCACTGCCTTTGACCTGCGCACTGGTTTGGAAACGTCAAATCTCACCTTGACCCGCACGTAATCTTTGCTCTGGGGTTTCTCCAGGTCAAACGCCATCTCCTCCACCTTCCCAATGATGTCTCCCAGATCGTAAATAGAGGCTTCTGTGTAATAATTCACAGGAATATTACGGATCTGTATCCACACCGGCATAAACTGTAGATAGTCCTCTGGTGGCTTTTTCACCCATCGGTCTATAACAATAGACCACTCGTTAAACGTCCAAACCCTCTTCTTCATGACCTCCTCTAGGTCGTGTTCGTACTTGAAGCTGAACTGAAACCTCTCACTGGACAGAGCAACACCTCGTACCCGATCATAAACCTGCCACTTCCGTGGCATATCTAAGATAAGGTCAGCCATGTTCTGACATTCTGGATTTAGGGTTCTCCCCATGATGCTCATCACATTCTTTTCGCAGGAACAGTACTTCGGAAGATTTGGCATGACGAAAGGAATGTCCTCCTCCTCTTCGAGAGACAGAGACATAAGTGCTTTGTCGATATTCGCCATAGTTCAATCGCAACATGTTGAAAGACTGCCAAGTTTGTATTAGGGTTATTAGGTTTCAGCAAACGGCGCCTCAAGATAGCCTTCAAAAACCGAGGAAACCCTAGTAAAACAGAAAGATCTTCAACAGATTCACCACTTTTGTGTTTTTCTTAGGATATTTGGAAAACAAACGGGAAAAAACCCAGCCAAAAGCCCCACTTTTTCAAAAACCAAAGCCTCTAAATGGATTAGAGAGACCTAAGCGAAAAAGGGAGAGTCAATTACGAGACACAAGCTTCGATCTCCTGAAACCTCTATTTTGATAGATCAACATCATCTTTGGTTAATAAAACAATCTAAAAAAAAGAAAATAATAATAAATTTAATTTTTATTTAATATTTCGTAAAAAAAATAAATTTTTTATTAGAAAAATATTGTAATTAATTTGAACTATTTTTATATATTAAAATTTCAATATATTACATAATTATTAAGAAAATATAACTTTTAAATATATTTAGACTATTTAGAGGTTAGAGATTCGGATACGGATATCTGGACCTTATAATTTAACTATGTGGATATAGATCTGGTTTAGACGGATATATGATTTTACTATCCAGATCCGGATCCAGCCTTCTCGGATATCAGGAGCGACTCGGAGCGGATCATAGCAGATCCCGAATCAGATCTCGGATACCGGATAATAATTCCAGCCCTAGCCGGCGCAAACTAAGTCGTAGAGGACGACTCTGTAAGTCCGAGTGAAGTAAGGAAGGATTAGGTGCCAAGGATTATCAACCAATGATGATATTGATCTCAGTTGGATATCAATATAAATATTTTTAGTGTATTAAAGTCAATAAATGTCTCTAGCTCAGTTGGTATGGTGATAAATCATTCATATTTTAGAGAATGAACTTTTTAAAAAAATATGAAAACGACATCGTTTTGACCACCTGAAATATATATAT